CCTGGTGTCCAGCCAAGGTCAACCCACCAAAACATAACATATGAGAAAATGTATCTTCTATTGCAGTATTTTCAAGTGAACCAATCCTTTAGGAACTCATTTGAAAGCACAAAAAAAGACATGAACAGCTTTTACTCCATTTTAAAAACCTAATTCAAGATCATAGATTGCAATCATGAACTTCAGCGTTTTCAAAAAAATCTGAAGCTACTGGAACTGCCTAGGTTATAGTAGACACACAGGCTACAGCAATTTAAACCTTCTTTAAGGGAATTCGATACAAAATGATGCAAATCTCTTTTAGGGAGTTATACAAGTTTTGCATGTGTCACGTGGAAGCCATATCTAAACTAGGTACCACGTGTGGCTTTGACTTGCTCTGAGCTTAAATAAATGGCTTGAACAAAGCCATTGCAGATTTGCATTAAATGAGGCTAACAATTAAATTTTATAATAGCGTATTATTCGTTACTATACCCAATATAAAATATACACTGTTTTTAAGAGCAAGGCTCTGAAACTCAGATTCCTCCTTCTAGATAATTGCCTTGACCAGAAAGCTACAGAATCTTACTCTCTTGCTCGTTTGTGGTTTTTTTTTCATTTGGTGTTTTGTGTGGTGTTTTTTTTTTTTTCTCATTATGAACTTTAAGTCTTAAATGAGAAGTATTCTGCTGGATTGTGGAAAGATGAAGACCAATTGATGAGAAAAATATAAAAGGAGATCTACAAATTGCAGCACAGGTGGTCTAAACACTGTTTAGAGCCACCATGACCGACAGCCAGGGGCACGTTGTCACGGGTGCCCAACTCCTCCTGACAAGAAAGGGAACAGATGTAGAAATTACCAATGTCCCTTTGAATCTCAGAATCACCTGCCTTGTACACAATGTGTGTAAAGGAAGAACAACTCCATCAAGTCCATCCTGATGGACCATGTCCATCAGGACATGGTCTAGGGGACATGGTGGCGCTGGATTAATGGTTGGACTTGATGATCTTGAAGGTCCTTTCCAACCTAGTGTTTCTGTGATTCTGTGAACAACCTCATGGTTAACAGATTAAGACTGAAATTCAGGTTCTTTTAAATGTCAGTGCTGATGTTAATCAGAATATGAAAATTATTATTTGTCACTAGATTTAGTAAATGTTAAACATTAACATCTTTTTCTTCTTCTCTACAAGAAAATATTTCTATGTATTATAATCTAGTTGTAGAAAACCAAAGTATTTTCTTAAGCAAAATTAATCTGAAGCTCTAATTTGTTACAATTTGTACAGCCCAAGTTGCCTATCTTCCCAGAAATCTAAATACTAAATGCAAATACTAAAGCGGGCTCTTCTTGGCCATGGACTTTTAGCGAGTGACATGGTATGAAGGATTAACATGAAATACGAATTTCTGAATAATTTTAAAAGGACAGATTTATGTTTTGACAAGATTTTATTGTGAAACATTGGATTTAGAAAAGGTACAAAATGTCAACGGTCAGATGTGTGCCAGTACAGTAGTCTATACATGTGGACAGCTGAACACCTTCACTGCAGAACGCGTACTTAAACATACTATCTAAGAGGGGGCCGCAATATTCACAGGCTTAAAATACATAAATAACTTGAGCCAAAATGGCCATCACTGGTCAATGCTAATCAACATCTGGGAACAGGCTAAAAAGCACAATACAGTACAACAATTTCCTCGCAGATCCACATTTAAAGAACATCAGTTTATTATGTCAATAACCTACAGCTCCAGGACACTATTTTCAGGACTGGGATTCAGTTGGCTAGTTTACAACTTTAAAAAATATATGTTAAAAGTGAGATTATGGAAGAAAACCCGCAAGCATTTAATTAGAACTAAACACTATGAACCCCCTAAAAATTTTTTGATCTGGGATTTATAAAATCAATTACTTCTAATATAGAACTTCAGTTTGTTCCTTTAAAATGTCCTTACTGCTGCTGGAACAGATATTATTAAGAAATGTTAATTCAAACATTTCAATTTGCTATGCATTTCTGTGTTTTAAAACCAACTTCACCAAACATTGGTCACCATTCAACTGTAAAAAAAACAGTATCAAAATACTAACTCTGAATTGATGAAAGTCATAAAGTTGTATATTAAAAAAAATAACATCCCCAAAGGATAGCAGCATTCTCCACCCTAGTTTAGCAAGTTTAAAGAGAATTTATAAACATATAAAGTCGCTTTTAGGGTATAAAAAATAGGCGTATACCATATGAAACAAGATAGCTTGATTTTTTTCAAATTATTCAGTAGTCTGTCACTGCTGGAACTTGTTTGAACTACTGAAAAGGCATTCATAGTTCAGTACATGGGTGGACAGCCAAGGAACTTTAGATTTTAGTTCTTTAACTAAAAAGTGTGTAGCTTATTCTACACAATTCAGTTTACTGAAATATAAGCAGCTACCCTGTTACCAGTCAGTACCCAGAGCTGAACTAAACCTTTACTTACGTAAATCTACTTCACTTTATGCTGGTTCGTAACTCACTTTCCTGAACAGACACCTTGGGGTACACTATATTTAACAGAAATTTCTGAATATGGCTAATGTCCATTAGGAGCAGAGCTTAAACTTAAACTGATGTAATTTAGAATCAAAATCTACCCAAAACATTAAAACAATCCACTCTCTGACATGACATCCACTCCCTTAATTAATGAAATTAATTAGACCATTAGTTTTGGCTACTCATTGTGTATCTTTACTGGGGGACGAGAACCTTGCAATTCATTAAGAATAATTACCGTAAGTTACAACTAAGTACATTAAAATCAGACAATGGGGAATAATTATTTTTAAAACTTTGAGTGTATTTCACTAATTAAGGATGTGTAACACTGGGAGTGTAATGTCTGCTATGGAATTAAAATAAGCACTGTGCCAAATGGGAAAAAAATATATAAACAAACCACTAAACTCCAGTGTGGCAAAAAACATTTTGTTTTTTGTTCAGGAAGTGTTTGGCATGAGCAGCACTAACAAAATTCTACACCTCACAGACACAAGCTACAAAGGTTATCTAAAGCCAATACTCACTGTCCATCAACTAGCTAGCTCTTAATGCTGCTTCAAGCACTGCACTAGCCACTTTGATCTTTGTTCAGATTCCTCTGTACACACATTTATATTTACATAAAACATTTATTAAACATGATTTTAAAACATAAAAACCTTATGTACAAAATACCAACATTCCTATAAATAAACAGTTGGAGAAAGGCACTTGCAAGAAAAATCTACAGTAAATCTTACAAAAACCACACTGCCTCTGTTACTGTACAATAGATAATCTTTCGGTAAATCCCTATCACAAGAATGTAAAACACTTACTTGTTATAACTAAGAATATAACCGTTACAGTTGTATTTACACATACATATATGCCTTTTTTTAGTTTCACTTGAGAGCACCATGATTTCCATTCTAAATTTATATTTTGATACAAAGTAAAAGAACAGTTGCCAGAAACCAGTGTTCAGTGTCACTGCAGGTTCATAAACTTTTGGCTGACATCAGTGTAGTTTAAAAGACTCAGTTGCTGCTTTGTAAAAAGTACACCTAGTGTGTTATTGCATGTTGTCCTTTTAGAGAGAGCACTGCTATGTTCTCTATGCAATTGTTTAATACTATTGCTGGCAAAAAGTTTCCAATATCAAAAAAATAAAAACACTCTTCAAGCCAGTTGAAGTATTTCATCTGAACAGTAACTAAAAAAAGCTGCATATTAATTATAAAAACGTGTAGGAAACATGCCAACTAATCTGGTGTGCAAAAATATTTTTTCCACTACACAGGATTTTAAGGGCTTCACAGAATTACTCAAATTTACATTGAGTAGCAAACCCCATGAATAACCAGTTCCTCAAGGAGATGTTAGTATACTCCCACTTTTATCGAACTTTTTACCCTTTGACAATGCTGCAACCTGTTTGAGCAGTTCTCTGTTTTTGGCCTGCAATACAGATAAAAAAAGTTTTATGAATTACTGAAATGTCTCAGATAGTAGTGGCATGCACCCATTTCCCATTGCATTTATGAAATAAATTCTGAAAATGTACATGCTGAGAATATTCAAAGAAGATAATGATCAATTTTCAAAGATTTGTATATGCTTTTTGATATGCATATTCTATCTTTAACAGAAAAGGTAAACACATTTCCTGCATTGAAAAATTCAGTATCTGACGTATTGCACTGAGTATCTGTTCAGCCTGTGATTTATAAGGCAACTAATTCAGGCTTTACTCCTGATAAAGTAGATATATGCTTTAACAAGAGACATTTAACTGTCAGTTGTGTTATGCTGAGCTGTTAAATCAGATCCATAGCACACTGACAACTGATAAAATATCAGAGAACAGATAAAAAAATAACATAACCTTTGAGAAAGCATGTGAGGTAAGCCTTCATCTCTTAAAATCAGAAAGCAATTCTTACAGTGAGATTGTCTGTTGACTGAACTGCTGTACCATGCTTGAGAAGTTAAACGTGGTAATGACCATTCAAGAACTCTGTGCTATTTCATTGCTGTGAGTGAACAGCCTGAACACATAAATCCATCTGAAGCAGTCCTCAAGTACGGATAAGCAATTAACTCACCTGCAACTGTTCCACAGTTTCCTTGTGAGCTTTCTCCATACTGTTCATCTTTGTCCTCAAGTTAGACTCCTGATACTGGAAGTCTGCCTTCAGTTCTGTCAACTGAAAACACAAATTCTATGAAGATTCCTTGGACTGCTACAGTATACATGTTCTAATTAATCTGTGAAATCTTTATGGAAGCTTCAGGAATCTCAGAAGACAGTATATTTATTTACTATCGTAGTATTGACAGATCAGCACTTGAGAAGTAACTTGAGAAGCATGTCTATTTTATATGAAGAAAACAACTGTACTCATATAACCATATTGTTTGCTCAGGATTTGGTATAAAGAAGGTTAATCCTCAACAAAAAAAATTTCAAATACAAGATTTATAATCTTAGCTGTTCTTTCAGCGCTGAGATACTTAGCACAATCTTCAGTTGTATGGTATGGTAGCATATGAAAAATCTTCCAGAGACAACAGAAAGGATTCCTTTGTGCTCTTTCATGCTACAATTTGTCCTAAACGGAAGTATACATTCCAGAGTTTCACTGCTTTCCACAACAACAGTGAATTAAACTGTGTTATTAGAGATGTGTAATTAAAAGGACTTATCTTACAACTTAATTCTGAGTGTAGTATTGCTGCCACTGGCTCTCTGCTGAGACAGGCAGAGATCCAGATGACACACACTAAGGCAGGTGTTTCTAAATTGTGATATGTGCTTCTATCCAAGCAGCTGAACACTTCTGGAAGCATGTGCAGCTGGGTGAACTATTAACAGTTTGTTGTATACGGACCCAGAAGTTTCAGGAACGACTTATTTAAAAAGTTTAGTTCCTTAAAGCATCCCAGATTTACCTGGCTATTTTGAACCTCTCTGGTCAATTTGGATTTATCAGGAAATTTATCTCTGCTAGCAAAGACACCCGCTATAACAAACCACAGCATACATTCCTGAAGTGACCACCAAGACTGCTATTACCAACCTTATTATGTGTCAAATCACATGTAGTAAAAGATGGTATTCAAAAGAACTGTCAATCACATGGTCCTAAATAAAGTGCTGGTATCTTGATACACGGATATATACCTCACTGTACACAGACTGCTGCTCAAGGTATGTACTTACAGCTGTTGTAAATTCCAGGGGATCTAGTACAAAACCACATACCACAAACTAAATATTAAAAAAACCCTAGTGGTAGTATTGCACCATAGTAAAGTATACAACTAGATGAGCAAACACACTACCAGTGAACATTCAGCAAATTGTGGTCCCTTCCTCCTGATCAAGTTTCAGGGCCCCATAGTAGTGTCTTGGTATCTCTTTAACATTTTGTCCAGAAATCAAACCAAGGTTAGTACTGCAATAAGCAGTACTGGTAATGAGGTGACTGAGATCTTGACTCATAACAAAAAATGATGAATGAGGATTGTCTGTAAAGCTGGTGTACCAAGTTGTTTTTGTTGCCATACGTTATATATTTCAGAAGTTTTTCTCTTGGAGCACTCCAAACTGTTCAAATGCTGTCCCTACACAAATCTTGGGACAAGATCTTAGCAGGAATCTCCCATAGGTCTGGCTCAGGCTTTAATCCTAGTACATCTCACAGTCAAAAAACATCTGCAGGGCATTCATTTGTTGTAACTTTTTCAGCTATGCAAACAGTGTATGATGTGTTCAGCTCTTCTCCCCACCCCCAGCAGCTGAAGAAACTAAGTGACATTCTGAAAGTGAGTAATTAATGCCCAAAAGAGTACTTAAGTTCACAGAACTCTGAGGTCAAATAGATAGTTTTAGCAGTGGGGATATTAAAATCACTAGACGCTCTCCCTATGGAAACAGCACAAACAAGTTACTGCAGTGGTGACGCAGAAGTAGCTGACATTTCCTTACCTAACCCTTTTGTTAGCTTTGCCCGACAGATCAAATGTAAAAAAAAAGTGACTTTCCTACTGACTCATGATCTTCTACTGGCTTTGTAAGAGAGAGATCAGGGCCTTAACATCAGTCCTTTGAAGAAAATACCTAAAGAGAACCCATGACAGACTGTTCAGCTCTTTCACATTAAGCACTTAAAGATTTGAAATAGCAAGTACTTCCAACACTAGGTATATTATAATGAGTGACATAAACGAAAAAAGGTTCAATATCCATTTCACAACACATTGAAATGTAGAAATGAAGATACTGAACCATGGTTTAAAAGTGGAAGCATTTGCCTTTCAGAGTCAATGAGCCTTTCTTAACCATCAATGTTTTAATAGGCCACCATGCATCTATAATCAAAATATTACTTGAAAATACAATAAATTTATTTTTAATACAGTTCTATAACCTACTCAATCCTGAACAGACATTCTAGAGACACTGTTAGAGACACTGTCTTAAAAGCATCTAGTTAATCAGATGGCAGAGAAATAAGCTCTAATAAAGGCAGAGCAAAGTACATATTTGTAGTTATTTCTCTCTTCTCCTTAGTCATTATGTTGTTTGAAGGGTGAATCTCTTGTATGAGTTTCATTGTAGCCATTTGGGCCTGACTATACTGCTTAACTTTTGTTGGCTGCCAGGCAGCTAATCCAAGCTTTTCTTCTAGTCGCTTGATAGTGAAAAAGACTTGATAACCTACACTACACATATGCTACCAGTATTTAAAATCAAAACACTTAATTTTCATACACTGTACATGTAAATTTGGATACCAACTCATTAGTTATGGCTATAGTTGCTTTAGCTTAAAACTAAACAAAAACTATGCTAAACTCAGAATGGTTACTACTCGTAACCCTCCTGTTACCTTGTGTGCCCATCGGCCTATGGAAGTATCCGAGATCTTTGCTGTGACTCAGTTTAGAATATGTAAACATACAAACCACTGTCTGGCATTTTATCCATCACCTGTGGCACGCAGCCCAAGTAACAGTGAACCAGATGGCTAGCTTCTAGATGGCTGAAGTGAGGTAAGCTGGATTCATCTTTGTCTTAGAGACAAAATACATATTCAGGACACTAAAGTCCCAAACTTGTCCTTTAAATGGCAAGATTTGATTGCTATGTATCTTGCTATATAAAAAGATTGTAACCAATTTTTGTTTTATCTCAGTGTTTTGACATTGTTAGGAGTATACAAAATAGAAAACAAAATGATAAAGCTCTTAGTAAGCAGATGCAACTTTTACCTTTTTATCTTTTTCTAAAATAGTCTGATCTCTTTGCTGCAGAAGACGTTTAAGTGACATTACTTCTTCTTTCAGCTGACTTATGAGGACAAAGTTGTCAGTTCCTCCACTGTCTGCTGACTGATTTATAGAGCTACTAAAAATAAAAAACAATAGTTACTTGCAACATCAATAAGAAAAAACAGTAACTTTTTTTAAAGATCAAATTGGATAATTAATAATTCCACAAACATCCTTAAGGACTAATGCAAAAAAAAAAAAAAGTATGTACCTGACAGAAATGGATGCAACTGGCAAATTACCTTACTAATGGCACACATTACATACACCTGCAGAAATATAATTAAATATTAGCTTTGAGGGGGACAAATACCTTTTGACTGAAGCAACCACTTCTACTTTTACTCCAGCTGTTTGGCCAGAGACAGAATAAAGATTCAGTCTCACACATTAAGGTCCAAAAGACTTCTCTAGATACTAGGTCAGCTTAAAGCAGCAGGTTCGACCCTGCATCTAACTGACAAAACACCAATGTTAGGGAATACTGTTTCATTGGTAACTGTTGCCTCATACATAAGCTTTATTTAGTTTTGCCCCAAACAGCTTAAAAGCAGGAACACAGTGCCAGTTTTCTACTAATAAAGTCGACTGACAGCACTCAGATGCCACCCAATAATCTGTCTGTCTGGGCAATAGTTTCACCTCCCTCATTCTTTAGACAAAAAAAAAAAAAAAAAAAGACGCAACTGGCCACAAATCAGTGTTCTGTTTGGTTGAAATGGCTCAGCTTTACAAAAATATAACTTTACCTATCTCCATTTGATGGCTTGGATTCCAGTTTGGGTTTTTTCTTTGGAGTTTCATTCTGAATAGCTGCAGAGGATTTATGGCTGAAATCAAACAAAATGTAAACCTAAAGCCTCATACTGTATAACTCTCTAATATCACCATTTGGTACATGTAAAATAACTAACTCATGCTCCTAGCTGGAATGCTAGAGAGTAGCCAGAAAGGCAAAAGGAGAGGGGAAGAAAAAAAAAGAAAAAAAAAAAGTAGTCCTTTAAATGAAAACCGGAAGATAAATTAAAAGGAAATTAATAAATAATATCATATTTACCTCTGTTTCCATAGTCCCTGATCTTGTTCTGGACTCAGACTGCCGATTCTGAAATACGGGAAATGTATTTGGTAACTGACCAAACATGCCATTATTTCTAAGTTTATGTGAATGGTATCTGTACTAGAGAAAAACCATACCCCCTTTTTTTAAAAAAAAAAATTACCAGTTATGAACTTCCAGTTGGACAGCTGTATTATGTCATATTTGTGATCACTCTTTACTACGTCAGGATGCTATAGAAATAGTTCTTAGCTAAATGTTTACACTATCGTAAGACACAAGGGGTAGACTTCAAGACTGACATTATAACCTTTTTTCTGGTATCTCCCAGTTTTTGTGAACTTTATATTGCTAATCTTGTGCTCAGCAAGCTGGTTTAAAAGTGCATTCCTAGGATTCCCATACTGCAATATGAACATTGGCTAAAGTGGTGCTTATGTGATGGCATAAGAGCAAAGCTAAGTTTTGGATCCCTGAAAGTAACTGTTTCTCAGGTCTAAAGATTTGTTTTCGATAATTTCAAAAGCAACTAATAAACACCATTGCTAAAGGAATGGTAGCATGTAGAAGATTGCACTGAATGAAGTAGTTCAGTGAATCTGTATTTCTACCTCATTGTCTCATCTTAACAGTAACTGACATGGATAGGGAAGAATAATCATATTTATTGGACTAGAAGCAATGGACCCAGAGCAGCCTGTAGAAAAAAGGTGCCAAACCAGGAACACTGTGATCTGTACAGAGATATGCTTACTTTTATAACTCTTGAGTATATTACAAGCTCTATTCTGTAATAGAGAGCTAACTTTTTAAAATTTAATCCTTACTATAACTCTGTCACATGCATTAAATTAGATTTAGCTTGTTGTAACCTGATTTTCAGCAGAGATTTGAGGGAACAGGAACAGTACAGTAACTCTCTGCATGACAATAATTTTCTTCTCCAAATTCCTAAAAAATCCCCAATCTTTTTTTTTTTTTTTAACTGAAAATACATATAGAGTATTCTCCTCATTCCCAGCACCATTCCAGCTTATTTTTCTTCTATCTTTAAGTCACACTTAGGCAAGTTTCAGTCAATACGGAAAATTATAAGCACTGGAAAAGCAAAGCTCAGAATGAAAGCGTTTGTGTGTGGGGGACCAGGGTCACTACTATTGCAGCACTAACCGATACAAAAATAAAAATAAAGTAAGCAATTCTAAAGTTACCCTGCCATAAGCCGACCAATGAAAAGAAGAATTAGGACTTCTATTACACTAGCGTAAAAAACAGATCAGTCCCAGGATTTACAACTAGATAAACTAGTATGTATGTAAAAGTTGGTACGCTGCTTATCCCACTGCCAAAGACGACATGCTGAGAAACTTGCAGAACATGGGACAAAACTGTGGGAAATGTTATCAGAGTGCCAGTAACTGAACTGACAGTGTTATTTTCCTGTGTCTGTAGGACAGTCACTCACAAACCACCTATTCCAGCAGGATCTGAGTATAAAAACTAGCAGAGTTACAAACTGGACCTAGACTGAGAGTGATCCCACACTTTTTCTTCTGCTTCTCCATTTAACTGCAAGTATGTGCACACAAATGAGTCAGGATGAAGTAAGTTAGGGTGAGGATTCTGAGCAAAGTAGCTGTTCCATGCTCATTGCTAATACACACCTTTTAACTCACAGTAAATGCATGTAAAATAGCAGTTATTGCACAGCAGTTACTGCTTAGAAAGACAAATTCAAGTTTATCCCAAAGTAACTTGCTCTGTAGCCATTCTGGGAGTTTATTTTGTAGACCAGTTTCAACATCAACTAGTTTGATGATCACCAAGAATTTCTGCTTTTTGCTGACCTTGCTTCACCCAAACTGTAAGAATACAAGGATTTTGACAGACCGTGGAAGAACCACATTCTGCTACTGCTTTTGATGCCATATTTTAAACAGCATTTCTTATTTCCTTTGATTTGATCTCAGTACTAACAGAACACAGAAGAGGAAGAGGTACCAACCACTTTAATTTTTTAAATACTTACTTATGATGACTGCTGCTGTGACGATGATGGTGGTGGTGATGGTGGTGGTGTTTTGAATGATGCTGGTCTTTCTCAGTAAGAGATGAGGATGAGGAGTTAGAATGTGAAGATCCTAGGCTCTTCCTCTGTTCTTTTGTCTTCTGTAGCACTCTCTTGTAGGACAGTGTGCAAAGCCAACACAACAACTTTCCATCAACCTTTTGGAAAATAATTCATAGCACGTTTTTTTTTCCAAGTATACTTGCACTAAAAAGATGTACTTCATGTTTGTTAGAAAAACTTTGTTTCACTTCATCTGTAATCTTTGGGAAAAATCCAGACGTGTCTTTGGTATGAAACAGCACTACTGTATCTCCAACCTTTCAGTAAAGTGAATCTTATTCCATTTCTTTTTGTCATTTAAAGTTACGCTAGAAAGCGGTCTTAGCAAATATTGGACTTGCTCTATATCACAGAAGTGACAATAACTTTTTAAAGAGACAAATCATTTTTAGTTTAGACACCATGTACCCTCTCTCAACCCATTGTATTCCAGGCAGAATGAAGATGTCCAGCCAACATGTTACTTGTACCAAGTAAATTCTTCTGTAAAAACAGCACTATTCTTGGGTTCAGGCAAGAGGCTTTTTAGGTCATTTCCTCAGCACCTTCTGGAATGAGAAAGTGGCACTCACCAAAGCTATTTAAGAAAACAGAACACAAAGGGCCACTCAGAGCAGTCTACCTCTCTGGTGCTGTACTTTAAGGCAAGGCAGGCAAATCAGAAGGGATAAAGTGACAGATTCAAGTTATGGACATACATAAGATCCAACAGATGGGGAAAACAGAAATTGAAAAATTTTTAAAATAAAATAAAATAAAAAAAAAATCAATGTACCAGGAACTGTACCTCTGTTCCCCAGCTACGACTGTCAGCTTATGCTTGAGCTTATTTTTAAAAAGGGATTTAATTAAGTAAGTTAGCTCAGTAGCTAACGTAACAATTGCAAGTTGCAAAATTTAATTCAAATCTTGTAAAGCACAGCACAGCAACTTTAATCTAACGTTAGTGAACTTAAGACACAGTCCTGTTAATCTTTCTCTTATGAAGGAGGAACATCGTCTGTTGTCACCCTAAGCCATTACAGCCATGGAACAAAGCCTACCTTCCTTCTTCCCTCCTCTTTTCGATCAAAAGCACACTGCTGTTTGCACTGTTCACATGTCTGAGGTGGGCCATACTTCTTCTCCGAGTTGGTGCAACGCTGACATTTTGTGCCAATAAATGCTGCAATGATGTTACAATACTGACAAGGCTTGGGCTGAAAAATAGGTTAAGTTGAACTAAGTTAATACTTTTACAGTTTCCATAACGAACAAAGGTATTGAAATACCTTTTCAAACATTTCAAACAGTGATGCTTTTAAACTACTAGGGCTTCATATAACCTATCTTAAAGAACCTTTTTCCTATCATTTCTATCTTCAGTACCAAACTTTTCCCTTAAAATGATGCTCCTTCTATGGTCCAAAAGAGTGTGGACTTTCCATGAAAATCCAGGTATGTACTCAATGAAAGAAACACATACAACATGATTGCTTACCTCTATTCCTGCCTCTCTTTTTATTTTTTTTAAATATGATGACATTTTCTCTGTTTTACTACATTACTAAAGAAATTACTTTAAAAACTTTAAAAAGAAGAGTAATTTAGTAATTTTTTAGACTGGAAGTTTCTGAAAACATCCCTCTCCCTTGCACTATTCAGGGATTTGATAATTGTACAGCTCCAAGATTAGTATCCTCATCCCTGCAATTCTTCAGGAAACTTAAAAAACAAAACCAAAAAGACCCAAACAACTTCAAATACCATCAGGTCAGGTTATCAATTTTGATATCATGGACTCAACTAGAATAATACACTGCTGGGAAATAAAATTGTTGTCAGTTTTCACAGGTTAGAAGTGGCTGATTATCTTCGCTGCAGTTCTGTTTTTTGAGGACCTACTAATAAAAAACAATGGTGGATCTGTCTTGCACATCATTTTGCTACATTTTAAGTTTTTGAAAGAATGTTCTTTGTTCAGTTTGCATTTACATTCACAAAAGCCTGACTACGTACCAACAGCTGTTACATTTCTCAAATAATCTGAATTTCATCTAATGTGGTTTATGTCTAGTACATAGATGTTAAGCACTTCTGTTTCACCACAAGATTATCTTGATACCTTCCATAAACTTGTAACTGCAGGGCACTCAGATACAATGTTTGTATTCATGTGTTACAAAAAATTTTTCTAACAGAACTGAAGCTGAAATTCAACATGAGAAAATGCAAAGCAACATGAATACAGGTAATACTCATAAAATCTTTTCTACTTAGTAGCTTAACAAGATTAAACATGCATTTAAAATTTTTAAGACTTACATAATAAGAAGTATGCGGTATTATTAGATTTTCACATTTACCACTCATTAAAAACACAGAGAGCTAACGGTCTTTCTGCCATCAAGCGTGCGTTTTATGAGAATGTGTGAAGAATAACTTTACGTGCATAAAGTGAAATAGCATTGATTTTGCTACAAATAGCTATATTGCAGTTATTCCTAACTATTAAGCTACAGAGCGGATTTCAATTTGGAAAAAGAAACCGTAAGCCACAAAGGAAATCAAGAGCTGCCAGTAATTGTCACCACCTTTCTGAAAGGTAATCTTTTTTTTTCTTCCCCTCAAAAAAAGAAAGAAGTTAAGTTGCAAGAGAAGTTTTTGTTTTTTTTTAATTTAAAACGGGAATGAACTTAACTTCAATACTTAGAACTAAGAGCCTACTCACCGTTCCAAACTGCTTCACGTTTTGGGCACATTTCTTGCATATCGTATTAGTTTTGCTAAAGACAAAATTGCATAATGTTGAATTCAGCGACAGACACACACCTTGAAATTCCTCCCCATGCAATTACTGGAAAACACACATGCAAACACACGCCGTGGCAAGCTGTGAAGGGCAAGCGAACAAATCTAATGCTGTGCTGCGCTTATGCGACACGCTCGCGTCGCCGGAGCGGGCGGGCAGGTTATTTTACTGCGGTTCTGCCCTCGTCTCCACCGGTGGGAATTTCTGCCGTGACGAGGGTTACGCCCGTGGACCGCTGTTCCGCGGCAGGACTGCAGCCGGGCGCGCAGCGG